ATAGTCATCTAGGCCAAAAATGTGACGCCCATCATGGAGGGCGAGTCGAAGAAAAAGATTGGCAGGCTTCTAGGCTAGTAAACTTCCGAAGAAGGATTGCGTATGACATCTTAGGAAAATCCTACATAAAAAAATTAAGAGATCATTGAAGTGATAAGTAAGACAGAGCATAAGTTCACATGGCATGCGTGCTTTCTGGCTCGATGATAGCGTAGCCCAAGCGATGTATATATCCGTGAGGCCTGTTTGGCCGAAGTGGACAATACGTGCCACAGGTTTGAGTTGTGACCAAAAAAAAAAACAATCATTCAACTATGCATTGTAGACTAATTGATGTAGGAAAAAAATATGCATTGTAGACTATCATGTACCAATAAATCCCTACCATCTGATTATAGTCTTTTATATTTTTGCAGAGATTCTACCTTGGAGGCAGACTTGTATTTGGTCCAGATATTAGAGCACTGTTTCTTACCTTGTTCTTAATCCTAGTTCCAGTAGCATTATTTTGTGCTTTTGTTTCAAGAGGACTCATCAATGCATTTCCCCACCGATTAGGCTATCTTATTGTGGCCATATCTCTTCTCTTCTCTGTCTTTGTGAGTTTTCCTCTTCTTTTACTTGTCTATTACTGATTTATCTGTTTCGAATCCATCTTTATCTGCTGTTACTATTAACACCATCAACATTACTTTTAGTGACGGGGAGCCTTGGCGTAACTGGTAAAGTTGCTGCCATGTGACCAGGAGGTCACGGGTTCGAGCCGTGGAAACAGCCTCTTGCAGAAATGCAGGGTAAGGTTACATACGATAGATCTTTGTGGTTCGGCCCTTCCCCGGACCCCGCACATAGCGGGAACTTAGTGCACCGGGCTGCCCTAACGTTACTTTTAGTCCCTCGTCCACTTCTATGTAAATGCCATTCAAGCAAAGACATAAACTGGATCAAACTATGTTATAGAGTCTGCATACACGCGTAGATTTTAAACTCGTTACTGTTCTACTAGGATAAGTTATTGGATTGCCATGTTATTATTAGCACAGTTCATATGTTGCTATTGTCAAAATCTATTTACAAAGCTTGGTTCTTGTTGCTCTTTTGTCCAATTCATCCGTTTTAGCCTACGAATATTCCTCCTGTAATCTCCAAGAAAAAAGAATGTTCGGTGATTATGCTTAGTGTGATAGTTACTTTTATCACTCGAGTTATTCTAAAAAGAGGACAGCAAAAATTGCCACTTCCCGTTTTGGTTCTGTCTTTATCTGTCAAAAATTATTTAGATATTGTGTATAATAGGTAATGTCTAACATATTGATATAAATTATTGCAGATTGTAGTTCTTCTATTGCTAACTTCAGGAACAGATCCTGGAATTGTTCCGCGGAATACCAATCCTCCAGAACCTGACGAAGAATTTGAAACCTCTAGCATCTCCACAAGTTGTTTAGGAAGTCAGACTGGTCCTCTCAGTTTACCGCCTATGAAAAATGTTACTGTCAATGGAATAGTTGTCAAAGTAAAATACTGCAAAACGTGTATGCTATATCGGCCACCGCGCTGCTCTCATTGCTCCATATGCGACAATTGCATTGAACGCTTCGACCACCATTGCCCATGGGTGGGACAGTGCATTGGGAAGGTAGGTCTGAGCAATGCCTGCATTTCAAAAGGTTTTGTCATTTGGATAAATTGTGCTTTAGCATCTGCTTAATGTTGTCACTTCTGCCAAACATAGTCTTTCATGTTAATTTTTGACATTATTGGAGCTGAGGGTCTGCTCGAAACAGCCTCTCTATCTTCATAAGATAGGGTTAAGATCTGCATACACATTACCTTCCTCATACTCCACTTGTGGGATTGCACTTTGATTTGTTGTTGTTGTTGGAGCTCTTGTTAAAAGTTCTTGTTTTGTGCTTCCCTTTATCTGTCTGGGCTAGATGATTTTATTATTTTCATCGTTTGAGTTAGCTAAGGTTAAAGGTGTTGAATTTATACTGTGCGTTCTTTCTGATTACGAACAGTGAAATCTGCTACTACAGTTTGGAATTTGCCTCTTTTAGACTCTGTTAAGAAATTAACTGAAGATACTTCACATAGCTTCTTCTTTTTCTTTTTTTTCTTTTGTTCGCAAGTCGCAACCATCTCATTTCGGTATATGTTTTCAATTGTCTCTGTTGAATTGTGTGGTCATCTCATCTAAAAGCTTAAGCTGTTAGAGAGAGCACACTTTTATTTACTTAATTATGTCTTCAACACGCCCCCTCACGTGTGAGCTTGATTCTTGTTGATGAGCCAAGCACGTGGAAATTCTTTATGTGATTGGGTGGCGGTGCGACTCGAATCCAGGACCTCTGCCTGCTCTGATACCATGTTAACGTGTGTGACCATCTATCTAAAAGTTTAAGCTGTTACTTGGCTCTCTTTTTTGTTCCTAAAATGTATTTCTTTTGTTCAATCCAAAGGCCTAATATATTTGCATTATTTCTTGCAGAGGAACTATCGTTACTTTTTCATGTTTGTTTCCTCTACAAACCTCCTGAGCCTCTATGTCTTCGCGTTCTGCTGGGTAAATATTAAGAAGATAATGGAAGCGCGTGATTGTAACCTTTGGAGTGCATTTCTCAAGTCACCTGTTTCAGGCATCCTTATAATATATACATTTGTAGTTTCTTGGTTTCTTGGAGGTCTCACAGCATTTCACTTGTACTTGATACTCACAAATCAGGTCCATTTTCACCCCCCTCCCACCCACCCCCACCTCCTCTTCATTTTAGTTACTTTACTCGTCCCATGTCTCATCCTTCTGAATGCTGTTTTCCATGCAGACCACATATGAAAATTACAGATATCGATACGAGAGGAAGATGAATCCTTTTAATCTTGGATGTGCTCGGAATTTTAAGGAGATCTTTTGTACTAGTATGCCAAGATCCAGGATCAATTTCCGGGCACAGGTGAAAGTTGATCGGTCTTCAAGCCTCAACGCATCATCTTACTTGGGTGGTACTACTAATCCAGATTTGCACAAAATGAATTTTGACGTGGAGGTTGGGAGAAGACAGTCTGTTAATGCCGATGAGTGTAAAGAAATAGACAGCCGGATAAGAAGCATAGGTGCTGGATTAGACCGATGAAAGATGAGGACTGAGACCATAAAGGCCATTGGGTAATAACATCATCGATCAGGTGTACAGATACTGGCTGCTGAATTTAGAACAGGACGTGGTATGTTGCACAGCGAGAAGTGATCATCGTTGTAATTGATCCTTGAAGTTCTAACGTAACGCATTAGCCATATCGATCCTATATGGCTAATGCATTACGTTCATTTCTTCTGTCAGAATATTGCCACTGCATTTGAAATTGTAGGATCGTCGTGGCCGGAGAGGTGGGGGCTCAATAATTTTTTACTTGTGAATGATTAGCAGCTCTAGAAATAGAAGTTCAATTTTATTATTCTTTTGATAACAAAACCATTCAATGAATCTTTTTCTGATGAAGTTGTAAGATGCTGCTGCTTGTTTATATTTGTAAGACTGGAGTTTCATATGGCTAGAAATGAAATTGACTTTGCATATATAGGACAGTTGTTAGCTTTGTGCCATGACTCAATGAGTACAGGGGATTACAAGTAAATATGTATGATTTTGTGCCTAGAAAGAAGCTTTTACCTTATGTTCTACAATTTATGAGCTCTTTCTTCCTTCTATTTTTCGGTTTTGCTTAAACAAATAGGATTATACGTAATTAAGTAGCATTTAGTTTTTAACAACCCGTGACCATTCTATAAAACACGGTACCAGAAGAGTCCTTCGTGACGTGACTTGATCCGGTATCCTAGTACCTTGCCATTGTTATTGGTTATTGATATTACCTTTTCCGTCTATTTTTCTGGTTCTTAGGTTGCTGGTACTATCTTTCTGGCATCTGTTGTTGTAACTGTTTTTTGAGCCGAGAGTCTATCGGAAGCAGCCTCTCCACCAGGGTAGGGTTAAGGTCTGCGTATACACTACCCTCCCCAAACCCCACTTGTAAGACTATACAAGATTGTTGTTGTTATATTATAACATACTAGCTACTCTCGGTCGCTATTACACCAGGTACAAATATTTGTTCATAAAACCGGTGATAGTAGTAGCGGAGTTGATAACATACTAGACACTCCCGGCCGCCACACAAATATTTCTCTAGTCCTAACACTATCTTTATTGCCTTTATCCATCCCAAAATGCACCTCAAAGCAAAGCCTATGTAACCAATATTGTCTCCACCAAAGAAAGCGAAAGAGAATTCTTATTGACGAAGATAGCATCTTTTCCAGATCTCATGTTGATTGATTTGAACAGAATACACTAATAAAGATAGTAGTGGAATCAGAGGCGGATCTAGGATTTCTAAAACATGGGTGCACCACTAAAGAAAGGAGAAAAAAAATACTAAATGGGAATCGATTCCTATTCCTTTGGGTAAATAACGTAACCTTCAACCAAGTGCACCATTAACCTTTTAGGAGCATGGTGCCAGTAGATAATATTAGATCAATTTGAGGAAATATATACATAAAATACCTAGTTTGCCGGTAAAAGCACGGGTTCACGTCATTTTCCGCACGTTACGTTGTGGTTCTATAACTGCTCAGTGAGTTATATCAAATCCCTTACTCGGGATTGACTGATTCCTCTCTTACTCGTGAATCTTCCTGGAAAGTCTTCTCGTTTTGACTAATGAATAATTCCAATACAAATGGTCCTGGTATCAAATAATTTCCAGCTTGTCCTGTTCCGGACTCATTCTTTCCACGCCCTCCTAATTATTCTTGACACGTGTTAGGATTTGATTCGTCCACGTGGTGAGTCCATTTTCACCGATACAGATATAGTAAAAAAACGACAAATCAACGATAATAATGTTCAACAGGAACAGGTAACACCAGAATTAAAAATATGGTGAGATTAAAATTGAAGATAAATTATAAACATGTTACACATCTGTCACATCACTTCAATACAAGTTATACAAGGTATGTGTAAGGATAGTAAGACATATGAATGGAAGAAGAAATTGCTTTAGTAATTAGTAAGACCAAATAATTAAGAAGACAAACAAGCACATGGAGAATTAATCATTTAGTATTTTCTTATAACCATCCAGTAGAAATTCACTGGTCCGACCAATTCGAACTCGCGTGGAGTTCACTGGAAAGGAAGCTCTCCATAGCAGAAGACACATTGAAGTAAATGATACAACAACAACAACATACACAGTGTATTTTCAATGGAGGATACTGTGTGCGCATATCTTGATAGAAAAACTTGCCTCCGATAGACCCTCGGCTCAAGAAATAAATGAAATGAACAAAAAGAAAATGGGATGCCCTCGAAGATCTTATGAGAACCAATAACCCAAAGTAGTGTTGTTGGATTCATCTTGCATAATGTTACTGCTGCAATATTGCAGTGGCTGTAAACAATCATCAAACCCGAAACCGTTATAGCTCCCAGTTGTTGTACTACTTGTTGTAGTGATAGTACTTCCTCCTCCTAGTTCTCCACATGTCATGCCATATTGATATTCATTGTTTGTACCAAAACTCATTGGCATTATCATTTCGTTCAAAAGGCTAGTACTATTACTGCTATATCCCATATCTGAAACTGATGATATTGCTGTTGTTGCTGGAAATTGAGTCGTTTGATCACTTTCCTCACTGAAGTAGTAGCAATTGCCGCTGCTTGTTATATCCTCAGGCAATGGTGGTAAGTCTGTTGATGTTGCTTTATTACTATCGTACCTGTTGCAAAAAACATAATCAAATAGTTAAAATTGTACTATTCTTTTTAACAATGTAATTTTATAGCACGCAGAGGTCTTGAGTTCCGGTTTTACTGTTATGTATTATCATAAAGAATTTTCACGTGCTTGAGCCCACAAAAGCAGGCTCGAACATGTTAAGACATAATTAAAAGTGTAGTTTTTTAACAAGTTTAATTTTTAGATGTAATTGTCACACAATTCAATACCTGTAATCGTCTTCCATATGCATGTTGTAGTTGGAGTTATAGTACTGTTGTAATGCAAAATCTTCACCACCACCACCGCCGCCATTGCTAATATTCATGTTGCTGATGGAGAAGTGACTGAAGTCCGCATAGTTGACAGTAGGGACGGGAACATTCTCGGTCTGGCCAAAAACCAATAATTGTTGTTGCTGTTGATGTTGTTGCAAATGGTGATGATATTCCTCGTCAGGGGAAATCATACAAGTGACAGAAGAACCATGTGGCATGTCGGAATAGACAAAGTTGGTCCGAATTGGTTTGTTAGATTTGTTGTTGTTGCTGCGCATAGAACGTGCAGCTCTATCATAGGCCAAAGCAGCTTCCTCTGCAGTGTCAAATGTTCCCAGCCAATGCCTTTCTTTCGTATTCGGATCTCTTATCTCCGCAGCATATCGACCCCACGGCCTACGCCTCACTCCCAAATATCTACAGTTATTCTGCTGTTCCTCTGCATTTTGTTTGCCACTTTGAGTACTACTTACATTGCTGCCAGTATTCTTTCTTGGTTTTGTGCTTTTGTTAGTTGTTGAAGAAGTGGATGATTTGATGATATTCATCGTTAATGATTAAATTCTGGATCCGCCTCGTGTTGACAGATTGAGAAAGCAGAGATTTTCTGACCAGAAATTGAGGCAGAGATACAGATTCTCTTGATTTAGTACTGAGTACTGATGATTAGGATTTAGGATGTTTTTTCTTGATTGAACAGTGGTTGTTTCATGTGAGTATTTATAATATAATGGTCAAAAAAGGATGTCATTATTTTAAACTATTAAGTACTTAGTAGAAATATGTCAATCATGAATAATGATTATCTCAAGTGAGGTTGCAGATATTAGGACTTACTGATGTTAATCATGTTGTGGGCTCAAATCAAAGTAATTTTGTGCTCTAGGTATTTGTTAGATTCATTAATGATGCAAAATTTATTTAATAATCAATTGAACTTAAAGTTAAAGCAACTTCACATTATGGATCACCATCTAGCAACATAGAAATAGAGCGGGTAACCTGTCTTAATCGGTCAAATTATAGGCTCTTTGGTACGAGGGATAAGGGATAATTAATCTCGGGATTAAATTTAAGATGAGTCTATCCCACGTTTGGTAGAGATAAAATCGCGGTATAACTAATACCAAGATTAGTTATCCCGGGATTGTAGGGCTCGTTTGGTATGAGGGATTAATCCTGGGATTAAATTTGAGATGAGTTTATTCCATGTTTGGTTGGGATAAAATTGTGGTATAATTAATCCCGGGATTAGTTATCCAGGGATTGAAGTATTTTTTAATCCCTATGGGAGGGTGAGATAACTAATCCCGGGATAATTAATCATGGAATAACATGTTTCCCAACCAAACGACCCCGGATATCTAATCCCGGCATTAGTTATACCACGATTTTATCCCAACCAAACATGAGATAAACTCATCTCAAATTTAACCTCGGGATTAGTTATTCCCTATCCCCGTTGTGGCATTTTTATCCCTATGATCCTATGGAATGGTGGGATAACAATCCTGGGATAACTTATCTCTGGATAATTAATCCTGAGATAACTTATTTCCCAAAAACAAAATCAGCTCAAGCTAAAAGAATAAGGAGGGTAAAATATTTGTGTCGATTCAATAAATAAATGACACATATTTTTACGTACATTATTATCACTAAACTATATAAACTCTAGTTCCACTTCAAAAGTTGAAATAGCTTTACTCCATTTGTCTCAATTTTGTCCATAGAGCTGAAGTTCAAGTTTTGGACTAAAACAGATCTTGGAAATCTAGATATTATAAATCGAATATATATGAGTTCTAATCTTTTTACATTTCAAATTGTTAAAAGTACCAACAAAGGATGCAATTAAATGGTAAAAAAAATTCTCTTAATCAAATATCTCAAGTTAAAGTCTTGGAAATAAAGTTCTCTCGAGTAGGAAGCGCTAATATCCCTTATATACTTTTAACAACGTGAATCTGAGCCCGTTTGGATTGGCTTAAAAAAGTGATTTTTCATCAAAAGTATAGCTTTTAAGCCAAAAAACAATAAGTTGGAGTTTCTCAGCTTATTGCTTTTGGCTTGTTTTAAACAACTTTTAACTTATTTTAAGTATTTTTGAACTTTGTCAAACACTTAAAAGGCTAAAAAGAGCTTAAAAACTGATTTGACCAGCTTGAAAGCCAATCCATACACCCTTAACTACCAATAACCAAAACGCTTTAAGTAAATTGGGGTGTAGAGAATAATAATTAATAATAATAATAATACAAACTTTTTTGGCCAAATAAAATGGGATCTTTACATAAATAGCAAGCAATATTCATTGTTTACTTTTTCTAGTCATATACATAGATTATACAATATATATACATAATTTAACGTAAAAATAGCACGGTCTAGCCAGTTTTCGGACCGGTCATTCAAAAATAGCCAGCGTTTACCAAGTCAACGAAAAATAGCCACTATTTTGCTGCAACAGAGACTGATCCAGCATAATATACTGGAGTTCGATGAACCTATGTATGAACTTCCAGCATATTATGCTGGAACTCCAACACACGGAAAGTTCCAGCATAATATACTGGAGATTCGAGCACTTGTGTATGAACTTCCAGCATATTATACTGTACCGGTATACTTTGCTGGAACTCCAGTATATTATGCTGGAGTTCTAGTGTACTTATGCTGGAACTCCATCATATTATGCTGGAGTTCCAGCATACTTATCCTGAAACTCCAGTATAATATGCTGCAGTTCAAGTATACTTATGCTGGAACTCCAGCATAATATACTGGCGTATTTTCTGGGTTTTGAACAGTGTTTTCGCTCAGATTTATCTTTACATGAAAAGTGGCTAAATTTCGAGTACTTTTGAAACTGCGCTATTTTTGAACGACCACTTGTAAATTTGGCTATTTTTGAATTTCTCCCTAATTTAACACATATAATGCATAAATTATGCATACATTATACTTCCACGTTAGTTTAAACGATTGTGTGGACTACTACTTGAGTTAATTATTCAAGATAAAATACAATAGTACTCATCATTGCCATAATTTAAGTTGGGCCCTCCATATATTTCGTCCTAAATCCAAATGGGTTCCACAAACTTTGCTCAAGTACTCATTTGATCATCATGTTTATTACTCATTTATATCATACCCCTATACTAAGAACCATGATTGTATAATACATCCACATCATTATAATCATGTGCATTCTCGTGTTCTATGCATGCTAATATGCCATGCCAACAAATTATTGCCATTCAACTAGCACCGCCCCTCCCAAGAAAAAAAATATTAATTTGAAGGAAAGTTAGAAAATAAAATAACATTACGTAATCAATGAGAAGTTTCTTTAATAATCCAAACTTTTCTTAATTCACTGCATAGATACAAAACAAAATTAAGAATTAATCTTGTCAAATAATTTTCATTCTGTCACAACATAACACAACTGCGCAGCAATTAGGGTGCTAGTTTGAGTCCAAACCCATTTGACTCCTTCAACCCGTCCAAAATTAGGCTGGTAATTAACCCGTCCATTTATTGAACTCAACTCATGATCCAACTTATTTCAACACATCTACAGTTGGGCTGGCTTTTACCCCTAATTGATCCATAAGTAACTTTACTAAAATATCTTAAAACTTTTTTTTTTTGTTTGATATGTTATATATGACCATAACAAAATTAAAAAAATCTTATTTGAAAATTAAACAATTCATAAGAAAATAATACATTAATTAAAGCTTGGTAAGAGTTGGACAGGTTGCGCCATGACCCAAATTTTAGCCTAACTTGACCCAACCCACTTCAGTCCAAATTACTTTTGGGCGGGTCATTTATTGACTCATCCCATTTTAACCCGCCCAAAATCAACCCAACCCGCCCACTGGACACCTCTACGTGCAACCAATGTTTTAAAAGGCGGGGGCGTGAGGCGAGGCGTTTTACCTCTGACGAGGCGAAGCGTAAGCCTTGAGGCATGGGGCGTAAGTCCCATGGATCTTTAATTTTTACTAATTTTATGAATTTTTAAGATAGTATAAAATAAAAAATAATTATAAAAAGTACATTAAAATCACATAATTATAACAAATAATATATTTAAAATATTAATAAATTATAATTCAACTATGTATAATACGAAAAGTATGACATATATCATAACAAATAGTTGCAATGTCGTTACAACTCAAACATCAAAAGTAATGTATTCGATACGAAATCTTATATGTATCTCTTAAGGAGTAATGAATCTTGAAAGAATTTCGATATTATAATTTGATATTTTTCTTAAAATACTCCTTTCATTTTATATGCTTTCTATTTGGAAGAGAATTTTTATAAAAACATAATTCACAATTTAAATATGATTCTCAAGCATCATTCATTTTTAAGTTTCAACAAGTTAATAAAGTGGCACATAATTCACCATACAATACCATGATAACTAATTATTTGTACATAGTTACTAGCTAATATTGAGCTATTAAATTAATAAGTATTGTATCTCGTAAACGTGAAAAAAAAAATTAGAAAAATAATTATGGACTATTATATAGGAGTAGTAAAGACATAACAATAGTTAATAAATAAATACTTTTTAAACGAAAGATTTATTTAAAATTAACTATCATAGCAGTCTTAGTGGATAACATGCAATAATTTTTATTTTAATTATGACAATACTCCCAACTTAATAATTTATACTTAGGAAAAAAGTAATTTTGAGTAGTCAACGATTTATTAAGAAAATTTGAAGATTTACAAGGTTAGTTACATACAATTGCATAAAGTTCTATTAGGCGAGCCCAGTACGCTGGGCGTTGGGCGTGTCCGGGGCGTAAGCCCGATGGCCGAGGCGTAAGTCTCACGGAACTTAGTCCCACACATAAGCCCAGGGGCATTTTACGAGTGCTCCGCCCCGGGGCGAGTCCCAATTTTACCTTTTAAAACAGAGCTTGACACTGGGTGGGAAAACCAAAAAAAATTAGTACTCTCAACAATCCACTTTAATTGATTTTTTTGCTTGTTTTCACACATTGTTTACCCTCAAATCCGGATAACAATTGAATTTATATGGGGTTTTAAGGATCCGTGAACTAAAAGATACAAAAGGTTTTTAGGTTGAGGAAAATAAAGATAAAGACTCAACAATTGCTGTTAAAGTAAATAATCGCAGAATATAGTATTGCTTAGAACAATTGTGCTTTTTTTCTCTACAAGAATTTAGAGAGATCCCCTTTTATACATTCTGATTAAGGGTAAAAATAAGGTAGGTAAATTGATTACATCGTGGATCCCTGTAATTACGCCTTAATGGCCTGAAGTGGTTGAGAAAATCACGTTTGGGCGAGATATCCGGCGACGCTTGGTTATCCGTTACGAGTCCGGCTTCCGACCTTGTGTGTTTCTCCATCCGGTGGTGACTCCGTTTCGAGCTCTGTNTTTTGAGTACTCAACGATTTATTAAGAAAATTTGAAGATTTACAAGGTTAGTTACATACAATTGTATAAAGTTCTATTAGGCGAGCCTAGTACGCTGGGCGTTGGGCGTGTCCGGGGAGTAAGCCCCGATGGCCGAGGCGTAAGTCTCACGGAACTAAGCCCCACGCATAAGCCCAGGGGCATTTTACAAGTGCTCCGCCCCGGGGCGAGTCCCAATTCTGCCTTTTAAAACAGAGCGTGCAACCAATGAAGTTATGGTACAATATTTGCAAAGTAATTGGAAAAATAACAAGTAGTATTCCTCAGGTTTATGCGACACTATTTTTAATAAGTCGTTCGAAAAAGAATAACACATTTTTGTAGAGAAATTTTGATGGCCATACAAACGTTATAACGCATTTATGCCGAGTCAAATTATATGCTGAGTTAAAACTCTGTCTTGTTTCCTTAAAAATCAAATTATATCAAATAAATTGAAACATGTGGAATAATTATTTGTAAGAGTATAACAAGCCTTTAAGTAAATCGAAATAATTTTATAGATTGCTTTAAAATTTTTTATGTACCTTTAGGTGTACATTTAAACCAAATAGAGATTTTACAAAAAAAAAATTCTAATCCTTTGTTTTTCTTTTCTGATTCTGATTTTCAAAGATAGGGTCAACTAACTTAACTAACAATTGAGCCATGTTGGAATAACATGCACAAGAGATTAATCTATACTTTTGTCCACATGAAGCACAAATCAAGCAACCTATCAAGAACATGATTAACTTATAATATAGCCATAAAAATAAAGTTTGAACATAAACTTTCTATACATAAAATTAAGAATCTTATGTCTACATTAAAAATAAACGACTCCACTTATCATTCATATTATTGAGTATATCAATTACTTCGATTTTGTGTGACATGTGAGTGTAATATAGCTCTTATTAGTAAACTTGACCAAATACTATTAATCATACAAAGTTCTTGAAAACCAAGGCCCACTCATTCCATAGAATAAACAAGGAGTCCATCTTTAAAATAATCAATTAAAAACCTTTTTATAAAAAAACTAATTAGATGTGATAAATTCCAAGATAGCCAAATGCACCTAATGATTGCTAAATAAAAGTAAATACACTTCAGCATCATTTGGAATATAGAGCTTGATGAGCATACAATAATTGAACTCAATAACTTAAATCTAATATACCTCTATTTTCTATAGCTTTTAAGAGAGAACAATCCGGAATATTTTTGTTAACCATCTTGATATTTGGTATTTACTGGTTGGACTAATTTGAACTAAACTACGACAATCGAAGTGTTATGGGAGAAGATTAGTTGGGTGACGAGCGTACTTCTTTACCATACCAGTAATTCTAGTATTATTCTCCTATTTTTTTATTTTCAAATTTTTATTACTACATATTGTTTTTCTTGCTTCGATTACCTTATTATCTTGTTATTATCCCTTATATTTTCTATTGTAGTGATCCCCTTTTAAGCATACGTCTTAAGTTGGAGTACAGAGAATGAAGAAACTCCGAATAGAAAGTATATTCTCGGGAGAAATTTAAAAATAGCCAGATTTACAACTGGTCGTTCAAAAATAGCCCAGTTTCAAAAGTAATCGAAATTTAGCCACTTTTCATGTAAAGATAAATCCGAGCGAAAACACTGTTCAAAACCCCGAAAAATACGCCAGTATATTATGCTGGAGTTCCAGCATAACTATACTTGAACCCCAACATATTATACTGGAGTTCCAAGATAAGTGGAGTTCCAGCATAAGTACATTACAACTCCAGCATAATATACTAGAGTTCCAGCAAGTATACCGGTCCAGCATAATATACTGGAGTTTGGACCGCCGGTGCTCCAGTCTCGAGTATATTATACTGGAGCCAGCAAAGTATATCGGTGCAGCATAATATGCTGTAGTTCATACACAGGTGCACCGAACTCCAGTATATTATGCTAGACCGGTCTCTGTTGCAGCAAAATAGTGGCTATTTTTTCATTGACTTAGTAAACACTACCTATTTTTGAATGACCAATCCAAAAACTGGCTACCTTGCTATTTTGACTATATTCTCTGTTAATGAACGCTACGCTACGTTACGCAAATCTAAATTAATTAGCGCATTAAATTCTGAATAAAGAAAATGGAGCACAAGATAAGATTTAAGCCCACAACATGATTAACATCAGTAAGTCCTAACACTTCCAACCTCACTTGAGGTAATCATTATTCATGATTGACAAGATTTCTACTATGTACCTTATAGTTTAAAATAATGACATCCTTTTTTACCTTCATACTATATATATTTGCATGAAATAGCCACTGTTCAGTCAAGGAAAAACATCCTAATCATCAATAATCAGTACTAAATTACTTAAGAGAATTTGTATCTTTGTCTCTGTCTCTGTTTCTAGTCAGAAAGCCTCTGTTTTCTCAATCTGTCAACACGAGGCGAATCCAGAATTTAATCATTAAAGATGAATATCATCAAATCATCCACTTCTTCTTCAACTAACAAAAGCACAAAACCAAGAAAGAATGTTGGCAGCAATGTATGTAATATTCAAAGTGGTAAACAAAATGCAGAGGAGCAACAGAACAATTGCAGATATTTAGGTGTGAGGCGAAGGCCGTGGGGTCGATATGCTGCAGAGATAAGAGATCCGAATACGAAAGAAAGGCATTGGTTGGGAACATTTGACACTGCGGAGGAAGCAGCGTTGGCCTATGATAGAGCTGCACGTTCTATGCGCAGCAACAACAACAAATCTAACAAACCCATTCGGACTAACTTTGTCTATTCCGACATGCCACATGGTTCTTCTGTCACTTGTATGATTTCCCCTGATGAGGAATATCATCACCAATTTCAACTTCATCAACAACAACAACAATTACTGGTCTTTGGGGAGGCCGAGAATGTTTCTGTTCCCGCTGTTGACTACGCTGACTTCAGTCAGTTCTCCATTAGCAGCACGAATAATGGCGGTGGTGGCGGTGGAGAATTTCCATTGCAACAGTACTATAACCCCAACTACAATGTACATGTGGAAGAAAGTTACAGGTATTGAATTTTATCTAAAAGTACGTTGTTTGAGAAAACACACGCTCTACATACACACTACCCTCCCCAGAATAAGACTGGGTATGCTGTTGTTGTTGTTGTAGCACGCTCTGGCCTGAATTTTTTTTTGGGGGTCAAGTACATGGAATAACAATACGTAACAGTAAAACTTGAACTCAGTACCTCTGCAAGAAAACAACTTTAATTATTTATTTATGTTTTTGACAACAGGTACGATAGTAATAAAGCAACATCAACAGAATTACCACCATTGCCGGAGGATATAACAAGCAGCGGCAACTTCTACTACTATAGTGAGGAAAGTAATCATCAAACTACTCAATTTCCGGCAACAACAGCAATATCACCAGTTTCAGATATGGCATATAGCAGTAGTAGTACTACTAGCCTTTTCAACGAAATGATAATGCCAATGAGTTTTGGTACAAACAATGAATATCAATATGGCGTGACATGTGGAGGAGTAGGAGGAAGTACTATCACTACAGCAAGTTGTACAACATCTGAGAGCTATAACGGTTTCGGGTTTGATGATTGTTTACAGCCACTACAATATTGCAGCAGTAACGTTATGCAAGATGAATCCAACAACACTACTTTGAGTTATTGGTTTTCATAATTTTTTTTGGTGGGCTTCCCAATTTCTTTTTTCTTAACACTAGATGATAAAAAAATATTCGAACGTTCCTCGAACATGAAGGCACTTTAATACTAAACCATTATATGTTGGAGGTAGAATTGGAGTTTGAATGCAAACTTCGGTTAATTTCTCCTTGTAAGTGTTTGTCTTCTTAATTTGGTCTTACTAATTAGTACTACACCAATTACTGTTCCTGTTGAACATTATTATTGTTGACTTGCCGTGTCGCTTTTTTTTTTTCCTTACTATATATATCCACATTTAATATACAGAGTATTAGCAAGAGTAATTGAACCTCAATCGTTCTAAAAATAAATTTTTTAATAGAAATGGAATAAAGTCGAAAAAGAAAAGAAATACTCATTCGTCCGCATATAATCTTTTTTAATTTCATCTACCAAGATTTAGTTTGGGCAATTCAAATAGATAATTATCCTATTTGCAGATCTTGCTTGTTATTAAAAGGAACGTCTTCCATCTTGATTGAAATGGTGGAGATATGGTTTTATGTCTCATCCTTCTTTGAATCTAAATATTGTATTTCAATACATTATTAGGAGTTTGACAAACTTCTCACACTGGCATATTCAAATCGCATATAAAGAAACTTAATACTATCCTGGAATTAAAAATGGAAAATGTCTTCCCCTTCCGTCCCACCAATTATTGTTGCAGCCTTTTGGCTGTTCACTTTCTTCTACAGATAGGTTTTCCTACAACTAGTTGGTGTCATGATCAAACTTTCATGACGCATAAGATAAGAAGGCACAGTTTAAAAATCGACAGGAAACTGAATATCTAGCAGCCTACCATAACCACCATGCTCAAGGAAATCTACTGTTGAATATGATGCACAAACCCAACCACGAGTTTAAACTCTGCTAGAAATTTATGAGCATAAAATGGTAGAGGATGCTCACTAAAAATACAGGTGAATCACCAAATAAAGGTACTAGAGAACAGATAATGCCAACAGCTACATCTCAATCCCAAGCAAGTTAAGTTCTACTATATAAGTTCCAAGTTCTAACTGCATTCATCCTCACTCACCGTGTCTTTTTTTTTTTGCAATACTGCTAGTTCCATTTGTTGTCTACCACATGTTATTACAATTCAGTTTCAGAACTTGAAAACCACTAAGAAAAAGTCTGTCATGTTCGCAAATGAATCAAAACAGCAGTTCAGTAACAGAGGAAATCAAACTATAACAAAGCCAGTAGAATTCACACATTATACAGACATACAATGACCACATAGGCTAACAGATATATTCAAGTTTAAAAAACATGCAAGTTGCAAGGAAATATCGATCACTACATAATTTAATAGAAGGAATAGAAAGGTACTTTAAGGGAACCACCACATAGAATAAACAATCCAATTCCAAAAAGAATAACTCAAATTAGAACCATAACATAATCAAGTCATAGTAGACTCAAAAACACTTGTTCTTAATTAAGACTAGATAGTGAAAATGAAAATAGAGTACTACATCAAAATTCCAATATGAAGATTCATTTCAATATAAATCGAATGCTATCTCTCTAATCTCCCTTTCTCCTGAAAGAACATCCCTCGGTAAGTCTAGCACGACCACCAGTAGGCTGGCACAGAACTGTCTGGCAGTTTCCGCAAACAACCACCGTCTGAGAATGGCTGAACACAGTTGTTCTGCATGATTTAAACATACGATCAAAACCAGTGAACTTTTAGAACTCCCTATGTTCCATTTTATGTGGGGGTTCAAGTGTACGAGATTCAAACTATTAAATTTTTAGTGTGAATTCAAATATAAACTCTTACAAGTTTTGTGAAAATAAAATTTACATGTATGAAACAAAAATTAAAGTACTCCATTTATCTTATTTTATGTGGCACGATTATTTTTTAGTAGGTCCCAACAAGAATGCAACCTTTACTTGAGACTTTCTTTTTTACCTTAACACAATGATATAGAACCAAAAAGATGTCTATGATTTGCTTTAGACACAAAAATTTCGAAAGTCCTTGTTTATTTCTTAAAAGTTTGGCAAATATCATGACATAAATTGGGTAAAATATCATCTCACAAAATGGGATATAGATTGTACTAATCTACTTATTAGTCCCAATGAGTAATTAATTCAAAACAATTAAAATTACTTTAGAAAAAATGTGATCAACTGAATTATTTTCACTCCCAAATAGTAAATAGAAAAACATAAAGACTGGAACACGAGGAAATACTAAGCTAAATATAAAAAACCAAAGGACAAAGATCTTACATGTTAAAGCAGCCTTGGCACTTAACATCCTACAGAAAAAACAAAACCACACATAAATATGTAATCCAAAAGGCATACATAAACAGGAAATCATTTTGACATTGGAAAAAAATGTACCATGAAGAAAGAGTTAGGAGACTGAACAAGACGTTTGAGCTTATGCTTCCTCTTTTCAACATCTGCTGGCGGGTTCAACAAATCGTAATCATTTGAAAGACCCTATAAATTTCAAAATTAGCAGATATAATTAAGCAAATTATAATCGTAATCATCTGAAAGCACATATAAATTTCAAAATAAGCAGATAATTATATAATCGTTAAGAAAATTGAAATCTAGATCGAGATCGAGACGGTAACTCACCATTTTCGCAAGATGAAATGAGAGTGAGGGGAGGCTGTGTGTTGCGCCACAAGCAGCGAAGATGGAGATGGTGTGAGAGGGGTTAGGATTAGGGTTTTGTGGAATATATAGTGCGTGGCGAATGTTGTGGGCCGTGGATTTGTAGTAGGTGTTAATCTGGTCCGTCACTTAAGGTTTCTTGCTTTTTAAGGGCTTTGGTTTTAGGTTTTTTTTTCCATTCGCCGACTTCAAATATTAATGCTTTTTATTGGCTTTTAGTTTAATACGATTGCATTTACACCTATCAATTTCTTATTCTTAAGTAATAATTTGACTCATCACAAAATTAAAATAAACTTTTGAACTTGTTATCTTAAACATGACATAATTTTCGCTTGGCTATTAGAAATTTAATATGTTATTATAAACATAATATTAAGGGTGGCGTTTGGACATGATTCCAAAAAAAAGTTCAAATTTGAAATTTCACTAAAATTTAAATTGAAGATGAAGTTAGTGTTTGGTTATAATTTTTGCAACATATTTGAATGTTTTTTTTTTCAAAACCATAAAACATGATTACTATCCCACAACTTGTAAAAAATATTAAAATCACCCCAATTTGATTATCCTACTTGAAATAAACATTCAAAATGCTATTTTTTTGTTTTTGTTTTTGATGAAGTAAGTGAATATTATTAGCCAAAGGCATCAAGAAGTGTTACAGAGAAAAAGAAGTAGTAGCCCAAAAAATCAACAAAAGATATATCATAAACAATCAAAATGTTACTCCCTCCGGTTCACAATAAGTGACCAATTTGCTTTTAGCACGCCCATTAAGAAAATACTAAATTCTTTATAAAAATACCTATTATGACTAAACTACCCCTAATTAAACATTTAATGTGGGAGTAAGAAAACTTTTTAGGGATATGTACATAGGGCTATTTTGTAAAAACAAATTGAATTCTTTCTTGATTACATAACTAGACACTTATTTTGGACCAAAATGAAAAGGCAAATTGGTCACTTATCGTGAACCGGAGGGAGTATTGTTTAAAAATATGGGATAAATTTGTAAATCTAAGAACTTGAAAATTCCCATTTTCAATTGAAAAAGTGGTGAGAACCACTTTTTCAAATTTGAAAATAGATTTTCAAGTGAAAAAGGAAAAAATATAAGAATTGTATGTCCAAACATTGTTTCAAAAAAAAATTGAAAAAAGGCAAAAAAAAAAAAAAGATGTATGTCCAAACGAGCTCTTAGATTGGATACGAAAATTTCAATTTGGATTTTCAATTTTGAGATTGAAGAAGTGATAATCCAAAGCCAATTCAAATAAGTTCGGAATGCATCAAATTTTTGAAGTTCGATTTCAAATTAATCAATTTGGATATTTTTTTCTGTTTTGAGTTTATAAGTTGTGCTTCTTCTTATTCATCTTACAAATATGAAATCCAAATGAAGTATTTATTTTAGATTGCCTTAATAGTTCCCCATTCTCATCGGAACCATACAAATAAAGTATTTATGCAAGTCATAAAATCATTATCGAAGAAATACAACAAAGACGTAAATAAGGCCGGTAAGAATTAACAATAGTCAAATCAGGTCCAAATAAAAAGAATTATACCAGTGACTTGGTAAGTAATATTGAAAATATGAGATAATGTCTAATGAGTAGGGTATTAGATATTGGGCATATAGATAGTAGACTAGTATCTAATGGATAGCACCAAATAGAAGGCATAACATTTTTGAAATTTTTGATACTACCAAATTCAACATCCAATTCGAAAATTCCAAAAGTTTGAATTTCAACTTGAATTTCGGATGTGCCCAAACTAGGCCAGGCCCTACACAATATAATATTTTGTGTGGCTTGAAACTTGTATTGTTAAATATGTCATCATATTTGTGCGGCTATAAAATTTCTCGCTAAGATTGAGCGGAAAGTTTAAAATTAAGTTGTTATAAAATACAAAAATGTATCATTCTTCGTTTTGAATGAACTAATAAGAAAATAATATAAAAGGACTTGTGTGGTGGAGAGTGTATTGGTGAAAAACCAAATATGACACGTGGATTAATGATATGTTAATAGGTATTTGAATTAGAGCAATAAATAAGGATGATAAGGCATGGGTGAAACACCTATGGGATTATTTACAGAGATATCGTATTTGATAGAGGGGAAAGAAGAGATAGGCACTATATGCATGATTGAAGACTACAAAAGAGAAAGATTCATTAATAGTTGCGAATATTAAAAAGGAATCGGCATAATCCTTGATTTATTATCATAAGATTCATAATTGTTACAAATAACTCAAGTAACGGGCAATCAATGTTGTTAATGTCAGTAACGGGTAAGAATTAAGTCGGGCAAAAGCAGTTACATATTGTACCCTTTAATAAATCCCTCTTACCATATTTTGTATCAAGGAATTCACAATTACATATTATCAGTCTCTTATTCTTATTTTTCTGCTTGATCGAAGATTCTTACTCTCTAACTCTTGAAGGAAGCTACAATTATCAATAGTATTTTTTTCTTTACTCATTGAATATCCAATTTCTATTATTTCTTATTCGTCTATATTCAAAAAAATTGAAATAAAATTGGTTATTAGAAACCCGGCTTATTTCAATATTTGATTTGATTACAAAGACTATTTTTTGGTTAAACAGAGAGTACACGGCATTGTTTTATTTCTGGGATCTTTATACGAATAGCCAGCGATATTGATTATTTAATTTGTCTAACCATATATAAAGATTATGCAATAATTATACATGTATTATACTTTCATAAGTTGTTTTTAGTTTAAGTGGTTGGATGTGCCGCTATTTAGGTTAATTCTTTTTTATTTCTCCCTCTACAATCAGAGTAAATATATCCAATGGAGCATAAGCAGGTCAAATTAGTATATATATGGGATGTTTCCTTTTTTTCGCTCCGATTATCCTACTATCTCGTTGTTGTTGTTACTGTTTTTCCCCGTCTTTCATCTGAGGGTCTATTGGAAACAACTTTTCTACCTTCACAAGATAAGAATAAGATTTGCGTACTTATTATCATCTTTCGACTCCACTTGGGGGCTTCATTACGAAGACACCATTAGAACGAGAATCCTCACTAAGGGTTGATGAGAGAGAAGCTCCAACTTCTCTCTAGCCACCAAAAGAAACTATATATATCCTCAAATTAACTTCATCCACTATCACCCCCATGGAAACCGATGACACTGCCATAGAGATGGATATATCCATAATACCACCTAAACCACCAGAGATTCACGGCAAAAAAAAAAAAGAAACCCAACTACCTGAGAATTCACCTATCTCTTACAAGGACAAATTAATTAGGGGGGAGTTAGATATGGATATTATCATCGACACCACTGACTCATTTTCTAGTACATTACCATTTCCACCTTAGACAAGCCATCAAAAGACCCTCTAACTTCCAAAGAAAAAAGAATCTCCTTATCCCAAGAAGACATAATCTGAGCTTCAACTGAAACGAATACTACACCAGATTCTTAGGAAGAAGGTCCACGAATTGTGGAAGGTGAAAGAGAATTTCCGTTTAATTGAGCTAGGAGCTGATTAATACATTGCAAAATTACAAACAAACAAAAAAGATAGTATGTAGTTTGTCCTTCAAAATGGTCCATGGTTCATATTTGGACATTTTTTAGCATGTCAAAGATGGGAACAAAAGTTTGTTGCGTCGAAGGTAAAATAATAGCTTAATGCAATATGGCTTCGCCTTTCAAATCTTCCTACTGAATTTTATGATGGATCTATCCTTCAAAAAATTGGAAACTCAATAGGTCGATTGTTAAAAATTGATGCATGTACATCAGCAACTTTAAGGGGCGTTATGCCAGACTATGTGTGAAATTACCAATGGACCAATCGGTTGCAAAATTCATCTATATAGAAGACTATAAACAACAAATAGAATACGAGGGTGAAAAAATTCTTTGCAAATTATGTGGAATGTTAGGTCATACTAGTATTAATTGCCCATGCATATGAAATTCTCTGCCAGACAAAACTAGCACTGAAAAGCAGCCACAAACCACAAAGATGATCAAAAGTCACACATGCACTAAAAGGACAGTGGCTGGCACATAGTGTCGTTCCAAAGATCAAGGAGACTACAGAAGAAAGAATCAGTGGAAGACAAAGAAGCTCCGTTGGAGGCAGGTATAGACGTTAAGTTATTCAATGCAACTACAAGTGAGTATACCAATACTGAGAGATTAAAATTTGTTAACAAGGACACTACTTCTCTGATGTCTAGCCAAGGCAGCAAAAGATTTGCCCAGTTATCCAATACTATTATTACCACTAAACAAGAAAAAATCAATGATTTTCAATTAGAAAAATATTTTCTCTAAGTTGTATTATGAGTCCACGGTTTTGCCAAACCACACAAACAAAAATAACTCTTTATTAAATGAAAAAACAGCTTGCATGACATTAATGGGAATTTGGACACGTTAAGTGAGGAAGCCCCTAATGATATTACTAAGCCCATTATCACGTCTGATAATACTACTACTAATATAGCTCTTAAGACTAAACAAGTTTTCAACCTACCTAATACCCCCCGCTACTAATGATATAATTAGTACTACAAAGCCCATAATTAGAATTAAAACTCCATCCAATAGCAAAACACACATGTCTACAAGACCTCCTCTCAACAACCAAATATTGGATGTCATGCACCACGTGCCAAATCCAATGCATGCAAAAGTTTGCAATATATCCCCTGTGTTAAGCCACAAATTGCATGCAATTAGATGCAATAATTCCCTACGCCCCAATATCTCCTATTTTAATCAACGATAACCTCACTGAAAATGACCAGAATTTCTTTAAACAGTCGGAGAATATACCGTCCCATCCAAATCCTCTGTCACCAATGCCCCTCCAACATGGAAAACCTTCCTCCATGCCCAACAACTCCAAAATCCTCCAATAATATATGTTCAACATCCACTGTCACAAGACCATCACCCAATGTCTTGGATTGAAATAGGGCTAATGGGGAGGGGTCTAATGTTCAATATAACGATCAATGGCCAAGAGAGTGTGATCCTAATCCAAAACC